TGGAGTTGCAGCGGCAGCCGGCGAGGTGTGTGGCGGAGGCGATGTCTGTGGCGGCGAGAAGAAACGGGGAAGGGGAAGGTCGCAGGAATGTTGAAGGGTTGGGGAAGGGAATGAGAAAAGGCTAAATTGGGGAATCAAAAACCTAAAAGTGGGGAAAGGGAATGATTTTTTTTTATAAACAAACAACAACAAAGGGAATCAGGGAATCCCATTCCGTTTCCTGATTCCCTTACCCCCTAACCAAACGCCCCCTTAAATCACTCCCTTCTTCTCTCCTCTCTCTCCTCCGAAGCATCATCATGACAAGTGATATCTTCGAGGCTCTTCGATGAGCGTAAATATAGAAAAAATAGCGGGAAGAAGGGTACGAAGAAAGGTCATCTTTTTTTACTCATTTCACAAGACAATGGCTAGGTTTTTCTATTTCACAACAGAGGTAGTTGGTGCAATTTTTGATTGATAATGAAGAGGACGCCATTGTTGTTTTACTCATTTTTGATAGTGCATGTTTTATTTTAAGAAAAAAACTAAGAATTAGGCCTCTATGCATTTAGTGCATTCTAAAGTAAAAAACAAAAAAGTTAGACTGCATATTAGTTCAAGACTGTAAAGGAAAAAGAGGGGCAAAGGGAACACAAGAGATGGAGACAAACAAATAGAGAGAGTACTGCTAGAAAAAACAGCAGAGAACAAAACTTCAGCATACATAAGCTTGGCGAAGTGATTAATGTATTTCAAAAGTGAATGAAATGTTGAAAACAAAAAATAATGCATTAAGGTCAAGGTGCAATGCGGAGACAATAAAACATAACTAGAGTTCAACACAAAAGTCTGTCACTCGTCTTCCTGGCTACGAAGCCTGGCCAATTTGTTGGTCACAACAACATCCAACTGGGCAGCACGTTCGACAATTTCCTTCCTCTTCTTGGTAGAAATGTTGTGTGCTATCTCAGCACAGTAAGTCCTGCAAGTCAAGAAAAGGGTAAGAAAAGTAAAAGGAAGAACCAAAACATGTGAACTAATTAGTACAACAGCTTTTGATAGTGCAAGAAAACCTGTTGTGCATCATCAAAAGTTCCAAGTCCTGAACGTTGTGCACAACAAACTTCTTGAAACCATTGGGCAGAAAAAAGCGGGTCTTCTTGTTGGAACCGTAGCCAATGTTTGGCATGAGAGTGCACCCTTTGAACTTTCTTCGCACACGAGAGTCAATACCTTTCGGCCTCCTCCAGCTTGGCTTCAATGTTAAAAAACCAATTAACATTACTGCTCACAACTCCTACTTAAGGCTGAGCACAACTACAATTACAACAATACAACCACAAACCAAATAAAATCTCACATAAACGACACATGTTTACGCATTATGCTCTGCAAACACTAGTGTATGACTTAAAAATTCTATTTGAAATTACATAAACAACATATGATGATATGTTGTTCCTTTGCTTGCTTACACACACAATGGTATCAAATTAGGAACATTTTATGACGCAAAACAGTCTTATATACAGACAGGGGGAATGTTTACAAAACGAATCCCTCACACGACATTCTTTTCTACTAAAGATTACAATCATTCCCCCCACACTTTGTTCAACAACTACTCACTCAAACAAGCTTCAGATGCTTTCTTAACAAAGACATTTTGTCGAACAATGCATCATGATCCCATACAATAGAGCATCACAAAAACAACCCTAAGTTCATAATTGCAGCAAACCATCAGTTTATTCAACCAAAAGATAATGATAATCAGTGATTCAATCAATGGCCACACAAAACAGGAGGAATCAAGTGAGGCAGGCATACCTTTACAGAGACATATCTGTCGCTCTGCGCCCTCTTGAACTTCTTGACACGCTTCTTCACAATCCTCTTGTTAAGCAAGGGGACGGCCATCTTTCCTACCTGAAAATCAGGTCAAAACTCAAACCCTTCAGCACCAAAATCACACCCAAATCGTTATTATCTATTACAGATCAGCAGCCGGAAAACGATGGCTAGAAATGGAAACAATGCTTGCCTGAGACGAAGCAGCAAGGGCTCCCTCCCTGTGAACGCGGGGGAAGGAAGAAGACAGCGATTAGGTTTTTAGTCCCGTGTATTGTGTTGAAACAATGGACCGGGTTTTATACCAAATGGGCTGTAGACTACCGTTTAAGCCCACAAACTAGATTCCGGGTTTTCTCAACCCAATACACCCATATCTCTAGCAAAGTTTCGATTTTTTACATATTTTGACTCCAAAGTCAAAATCAACTTGTGGAATGCAATTGAAGGGAGTGAGGGGTGTGTTCGGGTCAGGGTGGAGAAGTTTAGGAACAGTCAATTTTACGAACGGGGCACCGGAACGCCCCCGAGTCATTCTTTTACATCAGGGGTCAATGTCACTTGAACCTTCATTGAATATCGTAAAATATTTATCTAATCTATTATCGGTGGGGTTCTAGTGCCACTGGAGTACGGTGCTACTAACGGTGTCACTGCGTTTTTGGGACACCTCCGGTGCTCCGTTCGCAAAATTGACGGTTCCTATCCCCCCTAACCCACCCCTTAACCCCCCTACCCTACCCCCCGCCCCTGCACCCCCACCCCCACCCCAACCCCGCCGTAAGCACCCCACAAAATGTGTGGCTATTATGCAACGCATAAAAGCCACACATTTTGTGTGGGGCTTACGGCGGGGTTGGGGTGGGGGTGCAGGGGCGGAAGTAGGGTAGGGGGTTAAGGGAGTGGGTTAGGAGGGGTAGGAACCGTCAATTTTGTAAACGGAGCATCGGAGGTGCCCCAAAATGCCAGTGACACCGGAGTGGCACCGTACTCCAGTGGCACTAGAACCTCACCGATCTATTATATATATAAAAACACAGTCAAAATTGCCAAATCAATTTTCCCGCCAAAATTAGTAATCAATGGCCCAATTTTGCCCAAAAAAGAAGGGATGAAATCCTGACCGCAAATAACAATCAAAGGTCCAATTTCAATTTTCGTAAATAATAGAGAGATCCAAACCGTTGATTTTAGACCAAAACTAAAAGCGTTAACCGCACACCTCACTCCCAAACCACAACCGCTACAAACTTTTACGACAACTTCTCTCCATCCCGGAACAAACTTCTCACAGAAAATCTGCGGCTCCACCTTCTTCTTCCTTCCTTCTTGGCTGGCGATTGGGATTTCTGAATTTCTGGCTTCTTCGCTGAGATCCAGGGACGCCAAGACAGAGATGCTGCAGTGCTTCTTCTGTTGTTCCATTCTTCTTTGTTGAGTAATAGCGTAAGGTATGTATCCCAATATGTGCTCCATGTTTAAATTGTTTATCTTCTTCGTTGGAGAATTGGAGCAAATGAGATGTTTTCTTCACTGTGTTATCTTCTTCTTTGTGTTAAATCAATAAATTTTTCGTTGGATACTTGAATCAAATGATATTTTTTCTAGATCTGTTTTTTTACTAATAAATCTACAATTTCAGTTTAATAGTTATTTTTAACTAATTAAATATGCATTTTTTTAAAAAAATTAATCTACAATTACTAAATCTTACTTTTTTTACTAATTAACTATGTAATTTTTTTTACCAAATGTTAAATCTGCATTTTTTCTAAATATAGTTTACTTTTACTTTTGATTTTTGATGATTGTTACTTGTATTAGCATTTAGCAGAACCTCTGATTTCCAAACCTCTAACTTTGTGTTTTTTTTTTGGCATTTTGAGGATTGAGTCATCAGTAATTACAAAAAAAAACTCAGTGGATATTTTTCAGTAGAACCAACCCCCCTACTTTTTTTTTGTATTGGTGCTATTGCATATCAGTTTTCGATAATTGTTAACCAGTTTTAGTTTTGTCGGTTATCCAAATATATCGGTTCAGTTTCAGTCTCTTTTTATATACCCCAAAAAAATTGATTCGTTCGGTTTTGGTCCGAAACCAACCAAACCGACCAGATGCTCACCCCTAGAAGCAAAGAAAGAAAAAGGTAAGAGAGATGTTATTAGAGAATGGGATGAAAATCTACTATCATTCTTCATTGTGTTATCTTCTTCTTTGTTTATTTTTGTAATGCTTTTGTGGCCAATAGCTTTCTACTAACATTTCCTTTTAACCGTGGCATTATTATATCAACAAGCATCCTACTTTACTTGGGTGTTTGTGTTTAGGAAATTAAATACTTAAATATACTTGTCCCAATTTAAAATTTCCAACCCACTTAGTTCAGATCAATATGTTTTGTCACTTGAATGAAACAAATTATATGTAGTGAGCCTGAATTAGTGATGTGTATCAGAATATTTTATAATTTTTCTTCACATCTTTTCTATGATTTATTTGGTAGGTATAAATGATTTAGAGTTTCTTTGTTAACAAATCTATTTGAAAGATAGAAGCCCACAACACTACTGGTTTGTTGAAGTTGCGTAATTACCTTGTACAACTTACAACAACAACAACAACAACAACCCAATTAAATCCCACAAGAGTAGGGTCTGGGGAGGGTGTGTGTACGCAGACCTTGCCCCTACTCGAAAGTAGAGAGGCTGTTTCCAAAGAGACCCCCGGCTCAACGTCGAAAGTTGCATTGCTTGACTAACTGCTACTTCATTAATTAAAGAAGCGCAAATAGTTTAGATATCCATTTTGATTTATTCCATCACACCCCAAAGCCAAAAACAGGTGAAATTTTGGCTCCATCGGNAGTAGGGTCTGGGGAGGGTGTGTGTACGCAGACCTTGCCCCTACTCGAAAGTAGAGAGGCTGTTTCCAAAGAGACCCCCGGCTCAACGTCGAAAGTTGCATTGCTTGACTAACTGCTACTTCATTAATTAAAGAAGCGCAAATAGTTTAGATATCCATTTTGATTTATTCCATCACACCCCAAAGCCAAAAACAGGTGAAATTTTGGCTCCATCGGAGATGATGGAAAAACCTTGTACAACTTAGTTTCTAGGAACTGTAATGTCTTGATTATCTTGCATTTTTGACTCATTTGCGATCTCTTAGAGTGATATGAATAATGTACGCATAATTCGGCATGGCATACAGATAAAGGATGAGATAACTATTTTCTCAACTAAAGATTATAGAGAGACTACAAAAATATTGCCCCACCATCTTTTACCCAAACTTTTGATCAACTGTGAATATTTTAGGAGGAATAAATCATTTTCTGCTGATATGTTGATCAATTATAATTACGTAGTACTTGCTTATAAACTGCCATTCATTGTTGGCACCTGTACTGCTAAATGTTACACTTTTCTTCTTGGCATTGCTCTTTCTATTCAGTTGTGAGGTTTATTTCAAGTGAGCATATTTTAGTTGGTTATTATGTACATAATGCAGTAATTCAGGATGAGACAATAAGGGAAGCAATTAAGCAAACAATACTGCAAGCCGGGAGAAAGTGAGAATAAGATTACATATTTCTTCTGCGCAAGGTCTAGAACAAAAATATCAAACACTCAGGTCCATATCTTGCTTATTGTTTTTCCCATCTTATTATATGTAAATTGCCCGACATGCAGTGAGTTTCAATACATATTTGATGTTGGTCATTTCATTACATTCTTGGTCATTTCATGTTGGCTCGACGACAGTTTGTACACGACAAAACCAGGCACCGGGTCATTAAATCCCCAAAACTGTCGAGCAATTCGTGACCACACCTACTCCTACCTCGAGCCGATGAAAAATGAAGCACGCTGACCCTAACAACTTAGAGGTCGAGTTAAACCATTGTTCATCGCAACTTGTGGTATTTTTCAATTTTAATTTGAAATGGTTCAGGTCTCAGGGGTTAGCCAAAGTTGAATTAAATTTGAGGTTTATGGTTTTCTGAATTCAAAATTAAATGCACATAATGTGTTTGATGAATTGTTTATCGAATATAGGACAATTTTTCTAACTGGTACTGCTTGTTAGCCAAGTATCCACATCTTGAGGAAACACTTCATCCGCTAGATGTTAGTAGGCCGAGCCCTACGCTCGTCTCATCCATGGTCGAGCCTGTGCTCATCCATGGTCCAGTTCTTTTGTTCTAACTCGTTTCAATTTCTCGTTTCAATTAAAAAAAGTTAGAAAGAAATTAAAAAAACAACTAGAAGTGTTTCTAGTAACATCTAGCGGACCATGGATGAGCCGAGCAGTTGGGCTCGGCCTACTAACATCTAGCGGACGAAGTGTTTCCTCAAGATGTGGCTTGTGGGGTTCAATATGGGCCTTCTGTGTGCTCTTCTTAGTGACATGGGTTTACCCTCCATCAGATTATTTGATAAAATAATATATTCTTGTCACCTCTTGTTTTATAGAACTTTTGACGTAGTTTTTAGATATGTAAATTTTATTTTTAATTTCTATACCAAGTTTTAAATATAAATAAAAACAAACAAAAAAATTGAAAACCAAAAAACAACTATGACAATTATCAGAAAAATTGAAAACAAACAAAAAAAGTTAACAAAAAAAAATTAAAATATCAAAAACAAAAAAAGAAGAAGCAAATAAGCTTACAATATCGGGTGAAAAGTTCGAAAATAAACAAAAAATTTAACAAACGAAAAGGATGAAAAAAAAACAAACAAACAATAAGACTATAATATCAGGAAAAAAGATATAAACAACAACAAAGCCTTATCCCACTAGGTGGGGTCATCTATATGGATCAAACGACGCCATTGTGCCCTATCATGTATCACACGTGTTCTGAGATCATTCACGTGAGGGCCATGCTAGGGGTACACCAAAATGGTGTACCCCATTACAAATGGAGTGCACCAATGGTGTACCCATAGCTTTATTCTTCACGCAAAGGTCCCCATTCTTGCCAAGTCTTCTTAGGTCTACCTCTTCTTCTAGCTCCCTGTGTATTCTCCATTTGATCAACCCTTTTTCACAAGATGCTCTATTGGTCTTCTCTTCAGCTGTCCAAACCACCTAAGACGAGTTTCCACCATCTTTTTAACAATAGGTGTCACTCCAACAAACAAAAAAAATCATAAAACTACAGGAACGGAAACATTTAATAGAAGAAAAAACCTGAAACATAATAAAAAGAAGAAAGGAGGGGGTGGGATTGAAAAGAAGAAGAGAAGAGGGTGTGGTGTGGGAAGGCTTTGATGATGAAGAAGAAAAAGGGGTGAAAGAAGAAAAAGAAGAACTAAAAAAAGGGATTGAAGAAGAAGAGTAGAGTGGGTGAGTGGGGTGAGAAAAACTCAGTTGTTTGGATGTGTAAATGGGTTGGCCTATTGCTGCTACTTTTTTTATTGTCTATTTTGATTGTTTGTGGTTTTGATAAACTTTTAATGAAATCAGTAGGACCTTGCTTTAATTTCTAGTTCAAACTGGAAGATTGGATACTCGGATGATGGAATTGATCAAAAATTTCTTATTTCTCACTTCAAGCTTCTTGTCAACCATTAGTCAATTTTGATAAAATATCTAGGCTTGAACATACAGGGAAGCAGATTGCCGAGGCTTTATGCCCAGGCAAGGACGACTGGGAATACTCTGGGATTTTCTGTCTAATGTGGGATTGGGATATTCGCTGGAATTAGCTAATCCTAAACATGGGAAAAATATACTTGTTGGACAGCCTTGGGGATTAATCATAGTCGCCATTTTTATAACAATGTCATTACTTTGTTTTTGGTGCATTTAATGGTTGAATGCTCATGTAATATAGTAAGGGCTGTAATTCACATGTGTGTCTGTCCTTTGTTTTTTTTTTGGAGCCTGTTTGCTACATGAAGCTTCTATAATTTGACCATATAAATTATAAATGTTCTATATAGAGTAACTAGGCAGCAACAACTATGTTTTTACAAAAACTCCAATTTGATACTTTTCTTCTAAAACACTATGTCTAAGAGAGGGCATTTTATGAACTTTTATTGCTAGATTCACATCCAAATGTTCAAGTCTCTCATCTTCTTGGACCAAATATGCCTTACAAAGAAGTCATTTTTTACGTACTTGGGTATTATTTAGGTGTCATGCATCAAAATATCTAAGAGAACCATCTCTCTCTATTTTTTTTTGCAGGGGCATAAGAATGTGTTCACCGTGATCCCTAGGCCCCCAATGGAGTTGGGATGATATTGAGTTTTGTTGTTGCTGTTGATATATGCCGTAATGTACTCATTCAAGGGGTGCACCAATCTTGAGTCTCATCTTTTTCTTAAAATATACTCCCTCCGTCCCAAAATAAACTTCTCCTTTCATTTTTTCTTTGTCCTCAAATAAACTTCTCTTTTTCCTTAAAAAACCCTTTTTACCCCTTACTTTTTTATACCCTACCTATCACATCATACCTTTTTACTAATAATCTACATATTACATCTTACTTTTACACATCACATCAAGGGTATTTTTGGAAAGTCAACACCAAAATATTCCTTCCTTAATTTCCCAAAAAGTCAAAAAAGGAAGTTTATTTAGGGACGGAGGGAGTATACATCGCCAAGCAATAACGACAATGGAGGACGAGACCAACACCGGTTCCTCCTCCTCCTCCTCAACAAAGGACGATGCATTGACGGTGGGCGAATGCCAAAAGATGATTCAAAGGAGCCTCCAAACACCAAAGGTGAAGTTCCTAATGGATCACTTGAAGAAAGCTGGGTGTGAGATCAGTGACAGTTTCATCAAGGCTGAACGCTGTGATGACATGGTCAGTGGGGGCTATCTCCAAGGCAAAGGCATAGTCGTGTGCAGCAACGAACTGAGGCTACAAGATGAGGTAAACCAAGTTGTCCTACACGAGCTTATTCACGCGTATGACGATTGTCTCTCTGCAAATCTGAACTGGGCAGACTGTGCCCACCATGCCTGTAGTGAGATCAGAGCTAACCATCTGAGTGGCGACTGTAGTTTCAAGAGAGAGTTGCTGCGGGCCCACTTTGGGATTCGTGGTCACGAGCAAGAATGCGTTCGGCGAAGATCAATGAAGTCTTTGAAATCCAACCCGTACTGTTCTGAAAGGGCTGGTAAGGACGCCATGCTTGCGGTCTGGGATTTGTGTTACAATGACACAAGACCCTTTGATGGTGCTCCATGAAATGAAGCATGTTAAATGGTACTCCCTCTGCAGATCCTGTTTTAGGTATGCATATTTTTTGCATATTTGGGTGAAGGACAGGTTTGAGAGAGAGAGAGGAAGTTTTTCTTTTACTTTCAACTCCGAGAAATGAACGATTTTACGTTAATATTCTGATATTCAATGATTGTCATCATTGCTCTCAGAAACTTATCATTTTTTGCACCATTTTTTGGACGGGCAACTAAGTTAAAATGTTGATTGTGCAATTATTAAATATGAGTTGGAAACTATTAAAAAAAAGAAAATATTGGAAATGCATTAAGAAAAAATCTTGTGTTTTCAATTGGAATGTGGTAAAATAGAGATGTGTTTACATTTTTAATCAGGTAAATTATTAATAGTATTTCAAGCAAAGATAAGAATTTTAATGTTAACTTTATATAATTAAAAGTTAAAACTATGTTCGTTTAATAGTTCAAATTGATAAACCTTACAGTATATTTTTAAAACTATAGATTTAAGGTTATAACTTTCAAAAGTATAAAATAAAATAAGTGAAAAGTAAAATTGAATTGGTTTAACAATTACTCCGTATTTGAAACAACAAAACGATAAGAATGGAAATTGAAAATAAAGGGATAGAAGCTTTCATAAGATATACCAGAGTAATTTTTATGATACATTTTCATCATTTTATTTTTTTTAAATAGTTATCCAACAAGTTTAGTTTTATTTTTTTTTTTTTATACTTTTAAAATGATCATACATTGGATCAATAATTCACATCCTTTCCTTTTAATAACTCACATCTGATTTATTCATCACAACCAGTCTTGTCGACACCTCATTCAATCTATTTTGTTGGCCGCATCGGCTCTAGAAGACATCTTGATATAAGTTCATGACAAGGGTTTGAGGGGTCCTCGCGGATGAGGTTCATCCTTTTTATCAGGGGTGAGCATGATACAGTATGATATGATATTTGTTTCGTATCGATATCGTATCAAATATTTTGATTCCGTATGGTGTTTTACATCGTATTGATCCTGATCCCGACGTATCAGTTCGGTATGGTTCAGGATGGTCTGGTTTCAATTTCGGTAAATATTGGGATGAATATATATATATTGGTTCTGGTGAGAATGCAATATTAGAAGAGAAATGAGAATGAATCTGGTGCTTTAGAGTGTGAGATCTAAGGGTCAAGATTTCATCAAAATTAGATGCACCAAAATGGTGCGAAAATGCATCACGTCAAAATGCACCATAAACCTTCGAAAATGCACTATCTCAAAATCCTAGCGCATGATGCAATCTGAGCCGCACGATGCATCAGATCCGACGGCTAGATTTTATTCTCATTTCTCTCCACAAGGTGCATTCTCACAGGAACCGGCCCCTATATATATATATATATATATATATATATATATATATATATATATATATATATATATATATATATATATATAAACGTATCTAGTTTACACTTTGAAATGTACAAAAGTTTTTTACTTGAAAAAAATTGAAAGTACATTCAAATAAAGAAAGACAAACAATTGAAAAATGAATAATTAAATGCTAGAAATGCTTATAAAACTTAGTTTAAATTTCACAAACAAAAGAGAATGAATGATAATAAAATAGTATATCAAATGTTTGTTAATTTTTTTTATATTCATCTACAAAAATATTAAAATTCAAAAAAATGATTATTCAAATAAAAGATTATTTGTAATTCATCTACACTTCAACCAATTTTTCCAAAATCAATTTATTTTTTTTATGAAATATAAAAACATTATTTTTTTATAACATATTTGTATATAGGTTCGCTTCGGAATTTTTCGAATTTTCTTATCAATTTAGTGAGTATTTCTCTATCCTTATAAGCTAGTCAAAACTGTTTATAAGCAATTTTTTACTTATAAGTCAGCTGGTACGCAGACTTGTAAGCTATTTATAAGCCAGAAAAATTAAGTAGATTCTATGTACTTATTTTTAAATTAATTTTTTTGTTTCTTTGTTTTGACCAGATTATTTACAAAATTGTCCCTCACAATTTATGAATATTTCCTAATGACTTTGCTTTCATTTAAGTCATTTTATTTCTACGAAAAAATATTTGACTATAAACAACTTACAAATTGAAAACTAATTATTATTATCAATAATAAGATAATAAACACTAAAAAGAGTTCCTTAGTAAACCACTTTTGATTTTCAAACCAAATATGGAAGATATATTGACCATAGCACACCATCTCTTTATTGTTCTTTGTGCTCTTCTTTTTATGAATTGGTTAACTCTTTTCAAAGAAAAATTCACAAAACAAACAATAAGAAAAAGAGAAATTCAAAGTAAATTTAATGTCAATAATCATTTTTTAAAAATCTTCTCTCAATTTTAGACTATTCAATTTTTCAAATCCAAAACCATTTTTAAGTCAAAATCAAAGAAAGAAATTAAACGCGGCGTAGACTCTCCCGACAGGCAGTTAACCACCGCGGAAGGCAGCGTGTTCTAGAGAGAGAAAGTGCAGAGGAAATGAGGGAACAGCGGCGGCGCACTCTTCGGTGACCTGTGGTTGACGGCGGCGATGTTATCTTCGAGACCGAGGATCTGAACGGAGTTCCTGCAATTTCATCCGCGAATGATGGAAGGTAAAAGTTGCATTATGCCATTTTTCTCTTCTGAAAACCCTAAAGTATGATGTCCGTTTGAATCTGTAGTTCACTTAAGCAGTTAATCTTGACTCTTGATTGTGAAATTTGTGGTCATTTTCCGCATTAATGTCTCTGGATGTAAGTTTTGTGTACTTTTACTCTTATCCTCAGTTGAAGGCTCATATTTTTGTATGAATTGTTGAGTTTTGAGAATGTAATTTGAACTTCACTTGTTTTGCAAGAAAATTTTGCATGTGTACTTCTTTGGATTTGTTTGATTGCGTAAATGTTTGATTACTTAAATTAGCTCTTGACTTTCTTCTGGACTCAAGTTGGTCCTTGAAAATGCAATTTGGTTCATATTTAGTTTTCAGGCATATTTTGTTCTAATGTAAGTGTATTTAATCGCATTAGAAGTAATTAGGTTCAAATCACAAGTTGAGCAGAAAATTAAGCACTAAATTGGGATTTTGCTCTACCTTTCTTGAATACACAAAAATATCCTACTGCTTTTTAACCAGATATGCATTGCATTCAATTACGGATTACCAAAGCGAGTCCAAAAGAAAGTCAAGGACCGAATTGGATAATAATGTGTAGTTGACAGACCAAATTGAATAATAATGTGTAGATTAACTTTGAATGCGCCAGCATTAAGCTCTAGCGCCTTCAAATTTAATCCACCCCACTGAAATTTTATCCAAAACGCTAACGCTAATCGAAAACGTTGTTCCCAAACATGGCCTAAATGGCTCAATTTACTATTTACAATCTCAAAATTCTTGCAAGCTTATTGTTTATTTCAACAAAAGTTTCAACTAAATGTGACAGGAGGGTCCCCAAATCGAGAGTCGTGGGAATCTGTGGCTAAGTTATCTGCTGCATCTTCATTGTGTACTCGGGTTCAAGAGTGTAAAGACTTTCTCCGTAGATTTGCAGATAGTGAAATACTGGCAACAAACCTAATCCCATGGTTTGAGGAGATTGGAGAAAAATCTGCAGTCCCTTTTGACACGCCCTTTGAGTTGATAGATCTTCAAAAGTTTGATTACGCATTGGAAGGAATTTCCTTTCAGCAACTGATTCGGATGCCTAGTGCTGTTTATGCTTCAACATCTAATGCCGTTGAAGCCACTGCTTACCTTGCTCTAGAAGATTTTCTCCATGCAAGTGTGAAGAGCTTATGGGAGGCATTTTGGGGTCAGGATGAACCTTTTCCTTTCTATGTTTCTTGTGTTTACAACACAAACTTGAGATTCTGTCAGGCCGAGAAGGCAATTTCTAGAGACAGATTAGGGGGTCTTTGTGCTACAGCAGTACTACTAAAGAACCCGAGGCACCCACAGGGAAAGTGGGATGATATTGTTGAATTAGCACTTTTGCGGCCTGATATTGGTAGCCTTGCCACATCAGCAGACAACAACAGTAAGCCCTCTCTCTCCATTATCAGCGAAGCTTTGTTTTTTGGCATACGCGTATTGATTTCAAGAAACCTAAGCAAATCCAACATTCCTCTCAGTCTGAATTCTGTCTTCGTTCTCCTGGTTGATTCTCAATATGGTGGGGTGATGAGAATTCAAGGCGACGTGAGCAAGTTGGGAATGGATGCGAACAATGTTTATGGATGTGCTGCCGAATGGGTTAAAAACCACGCATTGGTTTCAATTTCTCCTCTTGATAGGATATGGAACAAGCTTGGAAATGCTAATTGGGGGGACATTGGTGCTTTACAGGTACTCTTTGCCACCTTCCATGCAATCACGCAATATGCCGGAATGTCAAAGAACTCTGTTGAAGATTTAGCTGCTGACCATAGTTCTCGGCTTCAATCTAGACGCATGGAAAGGCAATTGTGTGACGATATCAGGGTGAATGGAAATGGTTTATTTCGGTTCCAGCAACATACAGCTTCACCTGAAATTGTAGAAGTACAAGAAGAAGAATCCATAAGGTTGGACTCGAATAATAAGCCAGTAATGACTCTGGAAGTTGGTTCTGTTATGTTGATAGACGATTCAAACTTGCAGAAAGGCTATCGGATCAATGATGTAATGAGTGATGGTGAAATAACATATTACGTTGCTTCCTCTGTTGATTATCCATCGAAATCTTTGTTTCTTTATGTCGGATCCCATCCTTCTCAGCTGGAACCAGCATGGGAAGATATGAAGTTGTGGTATCAAGTCCAAAGGCAAACTAAAGTGCTGTGTGCCATGAAACAGAAGGGTCTGTCATGTAAGTATCTGCCTCAGTTGAGCGCATCTGGTCGGATAGTTCATTCTGGCAAGTGTCGGAGACCTGGAAACTGTGAGTACCCATGGTGCGGAACTCAAATCCTCATCACTAGTCCCGTAGGCAAAACGGTTGCGGATATGGTTAGAGATGGGCAGTTTGGGACCAACGAAGCTATTAGGTGTTGCCATGATTGTCTCTCTGCCCTTTCCTCAGCCGCATCTGCCGGAATCCGCCATGGGGATATCCGGCCGGAGAACGTCATATACGTCACATCCAGCGTGAGGAGTCCACACTTTGTGCTTATCGGTTGGGGACATGCGATCATGGAAGAGAGGGACCGTCCTACAATGAACCTTCATTTCTCTTCCACTTATGCCCTCCAGGAGGGCAGGCTGTGCTCTGCTTCTGATGCAGAGAGCCTGGTGTACATGCTTTACTTCTCTTCCGGCGGGGACACACCGGAATTGGATTCGGTGGAGGGAGCATTGCAGTGGAGGGAGACCTGTTGGTCAAAGAGGCAGATTCAGCAGAAGCTGGGGGACATATCTGCGGTGTTGAAAGCGTTTGCGGACTACGTTGACAGCCTGTGTGGGACCCCGTACCCATTAGATTACGCGATATGGCTAAGAAGGTTGAGGAGGCATATTAACGAGGAAGACGATCACGGGAAGGAGATCGTTGCGTATTAGCGCACGGCCTCTCTATGCAGGCCATATCGGTCCAAGGTATTGAGTACTCTGCATTATTTAGACATGAATTTTTTTTGGCATGATAGTAAGAAACAGGAATTGGAAAGAGTCCCTTGGGGGTAACCTTTATTCTTTTAGGAGGGGATGGAAGGAGGGAAGGGGATTTTTTTAACAGTTTGTTGGGTTGGATAGGCTGTATCATACATGTCAGATGTGATTATTATTATTATTATTATTATTGTTATTATTAATTTATTATTAGTATTGTTATCATTCCTTGTAAAGATGGGTGATTTGAGAAATGAGAGTCGTGTTGAATTCATGTTGTCTCTATGAGCCTATAAGCGAGCTTGTGAAAGGCAAATGGAATTTGCGGGCCAAGACAACAAGATGGCACATTATGATTATTGTCTGGGATAGGAGGGAGGGTACCTACGCGTATAATTTGGGGCATATTTGGTAAGCTCTAATCATTAAAAATTTCTTTCTCGATTTTACTTGGCACGGAGATTAAGAATAGTTAAAAAGTATAAAGATTTTTCATGTATTGCTTTTGATGTGATAGAATAAAGTGAATAGTGTTGATAAAAAGTTGGGATATAATGACACATTCATTAAAAGTTTTTACCAAAATAGGAAAGGGGAAATAAATTTTTGAACACCCTAAAAAGGAAAGTGAGAAAGAAATTATTGGACGAAAGAATAATTTTTTACTATATAAATTTTATTTTTAAATTTTACACACACGATCAAATAAATTGAATTAAAAATAAAATTGGTCAAACCTTACAACGCTTAATGAGATCTATAGAGGACGGGGGGATTGAAATTATTTTGAGATCTGAACTAATAGCTCTTAGTGACAGGTTGGGATTGGCCATCGATGACTGATGATGGGTGGCTAGGGTCTGGGTTTGAAGGTGGTTGTCGATGGAGATATCAAGATTTTGGATTGTTATTTTTTAAATTTAGAATATATCAAGGCACCTGATTCAGGAAGATTATGATATGAGGAGATGTTAAATTGAGTCTTGTTTAGCTTCATTAAAACTCACAAAAAGATTATAATATCATGAGTGCATGTACCATACATATGGATGTACGGAACATCTCGTACATCTGCATGAATACTCATTGTCAATTGATTAAGTACTTATTTTCGAGTAATTAAATTTTGGTTTTCGAGCATAACTGAATTTTAGAAAAAAAATTATTCAGTTACTCGAGAATGAGTACTTACTCGAAAATAAACATTAACTTGTAATTGAGCATTTGCTGTGGATGTACGGAAAACACCATACAACCGATTGTACGGTATATATTGCGTCGTAGCATAAAATATTACCACTCAAAATTTGTACCCTTGTCATACTTTTGATGTAATTCAATTTTTATGTAATCATTGGTTAAAATTTTCAAATTTTTGACCCAGGAAAATAAATGTTCTCCGTGCAAATCAAAATAAGTTGGGCTTTGGGAGTGGGTATGTAAAGAAGGTTGGGTAAAAGAGCATGACCCAATGTTGTTCAGCCCAAAGAGAATTGGCCTGTGATGGTACGGGCGAGTCATACTAAGAGGCCAACCACATGGGTCGTAACCAGAGCACGTAGATTCAAACCCATTAGACCCATTCCGTGAGGAACACAACTCATTAGAGCAAGATGACATAGAGAGGGTGGTCTAGCATGGAAGATATTGACAATCATTCTAAATATGAAAAAAAAAAATTTACGTGATCCTAAAGTTCATGCTGATTTTACAGACCTTAGTGTATTGGTATCATAAAAAATTGAGTCTTTTGCAAAAACAGAAAATATCCACATTCATGTAGATCTTAAGAACACAAAAGATAGTCATTTGCCCAATATATTTGCAGGTCCAAAAAAGGTGTTGTTAATGTTTAAAATCTAGCCCTAAAAGTAGGGGTGGGCACGGGCCGGTCCGAGCCGAGATTTATATAAACCGGACTCGGCTTGTTTTTATTAAAACGGTCCGGGCCGGAACGGGTTTTCAAAATTTTAAAATTGAACCGGACCTAACCCGGCTTGTTTGAAACGGGTCGATTCCACGGGTCAACGGGACTGAACCTATCATTATACTAATATTAAAAAAAATAAAGGGATAATAAATTAATTTAAGTCATCCAACACAAAAAAGAGGCGTAAATGAAAATAAAACAATGACAAATAGGGGCATGAGAGTAAAGTGTGTACCTCAGTCCTCATGATCATCCAACAATAAAAAAAAGAAGACAGCCACATTTTGTCATTATAATGTCATAATGTCAATGGGTTCCAAAAAAAAACAAAATTCACAATCTTCATGGGTTCCGACTCTCTGACTAAGAAAGGTTTTCCCATTTTTTGTCTATGATTGGAAGGACCAAAAGATTGAAGGGCTTAGGCGGGTATATTTCTGTATATCTGTATATTTACTAAAAATAATATTAAAATTTAAAAAAATGATCCGGTCCGGGTCCAATACAATTTCAAAATGGGGAACCGGACCGACCCTAAAATCTATAAGGACCGGACCGACCCGGACTATTTGAATTTTTTGAAAAGAGGACCCGACCCTAACCCGGACCGAACCTAGCGGTCCGGTTCCGACTCCCGGTTCCTGGACCTAATTGTCCACCCCTATCTAAAAGTGTAAAAAGGGGGAGATTGACATCTCAATTTAATTTAAGAATAAACTTGTTGAATTCTTATAAAAGGGTTGGATTTAACATCCGTTCAAAAAAGATGGTTTAGGTCTTTTTCTTCCTCACCACACATCACACAGGTAGTATCAATGTCTCAATATAAACAGTTGATGTTGATGTTAATATGTAGAGTAAATTTCATAAATGATTTCTAGTTATAGACAGTTTTCTATATTTAGTCCTTATTAATCAAATATTACAAGTGTAGTCCTTGCTTCCTAAGTTTTTTTTTCTACGACCAGTCCTCCGTCACTCTTACTATTATCTACATGTTCAATTAAATTGTTCTCCTCGTCCTCAACTCTCCCTCAAAATCCTAATTCAGGCCTTTTGTCTTCATTGCAAAATCGCAAAGCCTGAATGTTATTGTCGTCATCGCACATGATAATCTGAATGATGCACACTAACCATGCACACAAACGCATATATTAGGAGGGCTGGTGAGGTGTTTAATTAAGAGGTGGAAGTGATAAATTACTTTTTTAATGTCGTATTTAACAGGTAGACAACAAAATGAGTGACGGAGGACTGACCGTGGAAAGAAACAAAAAAAGGGACTACGCTGGCAATATTTGATAAATAAGGACTAAATATGAAAACCCACGTATTAGTAGGCTAGGGACCATTTATGTAGTTTACTTTAAAATGTAAGAACAAAAAAGTATGAATCATTCAAATTTACTATCTTCTTTCCAGAATACTCGTATAATTTAACTTTTTCGAGTTAAATTGATGAATATATTTTGGTTATCAATTAAATAGAAATCTTATTAGATGTTAGTAGAAAAATGATTCCATTAGATTTATTTTGTGAAAAATTTTCAAAATATTATTTTGTTGTACCATTCATTACTAATTTGCAATGTAAATTTAATATGATTGATGATTAAAGTTTGTCTAATCTCACTCAAAAAATGCAAGCTTAACAAATACTATTGGACTTAGGAAATACTCCCTCCGTACCAGAGTATTTGTCCACTTTCATTTTTACACACCATCCAATGCACTTCTTTAATCCATTTTATCTTGTAATTTGTATATTAAAAAATTATAGAAATTATATATTAATAATCTATATGTTAAGACAAATCAAACAAGATTACACATGACTATATTTAGGCTTACACATTGAGATAATTTGATGAGTCAAAGTGCTTAGATGAACAGTTCCAAAAGTCAAAAGTGGACAAAAACTGGGGGACAGAGGGAGTAATAAACATGATAAGGAGTATTAAGCAAAAATAGTGAGAGGTAAGAAAAAGTTAAAAAGAGACCGTAAGGGGCTGTTTGGTAACTTCTGAATCGGTAAGTGCTGAACCAGTAAGAGGTCTGAACCATTAAGTGCTGAACCAGTAAGAGGTCTGAACCATTAAGAGCTAGTATATTGCTTAACTATTCAGAGGCAAATGTCTGATCAATTCAGATAAGAGGTCTTAACCATTCAGACTCTGTATAATACTTAATCATTCAGAGGCAAATCTCTTAACCATTCAGACATCTGAACCATTAAGAGGCTGAAACAAACAGTCTGAACCATTAAGTGCTGAACCATTCAGACATCTGAACCATTAAAAAGCTAAAACAAACAGCCCCTAAAACAAAATGAATACCCTGTCCAAGTTTTTTTAAATAAAATAATACCGTTTGTATATCTATTCTAGTGCCCTCCAACTCATTTCAGGGTTTCCAATTTTTTTTTTTTGTTATTTCAACCTTTTGAGCCCTGTCTTTCTAATTTTTTAGATTCTTTTCAGTTTGTTTTAACTTCTAGCATCTAATTCTATTTGTTTAGTATAAATATTTATAATATACTCCGTACATATGTCCTACAATTTAAATTTAGTTATATTTGATTCTTGATGAAAATAATTTTGTTTTATA